GACCAGTCTTTGCTGTAACAGTACTCATATATAAAAGATATCAATGTGTCAGCAAGAGACTATGTTTTGATAACTCATAAAATGTATTTCTATATTTCCTATGATGGTCTACTACTCTAACAACCGATAAGATGAAAAAAAATATTTTGAATATTTTATTTTAATCATTTATAAATAATAACATAATATACATGGAGTATTTTACTAAAATGAAATAAATGTTGCCTTATATAGTTAGGTATCTATTACAAAATAAATACAATGCATTAAATGCAAATGTGGTTGTTTTATTCTAGATCTGCTTAAAATTCCCTCAGTAATAAAGCATAATCGCATATAGGCATATCACTTACACTTTTTCTCAAATACGATTTGATATTTAATTTTCATTTTGTTGTTTATCTACAACTAAAATTTAAAGATTACAAAACGACGATGAATCAAAATGCTCACAAAATGTAAGAATAAACGCCCCATCCTCACCTTAGGTGTGTGACGGTTACTCAAACTTACCGCTAATGTATCACACATGAGAATTTATAATAAAGTATACAATTACTGGATTGTTAACCTGCTAGAGATATCGTCGATAAATTCAAAAGTCAATTTGAAGATTTAATCAAATATGAAAAACTAAATAGTGATTAAGTTTAACACAAAGTAAAGGAAATCTCTTTAAGCCATAGATTTATTACAAACTGATAATAAATCTATGTTTTGGGAGATACCATTCGTTTTTTATAGTTGCTTTGACTTTTCATAGGGCGGACATTAATATTTATTTTAGTTTATTAGAAATTACACCAATGTATATAAAATTGTTGCTAAAATATCCAATTTTAACTGGTTGGGGATATCAAACTGAAATTACTTAAAAGTAGACTTGCAACGAATAGTATATTCGGCCACACGCCGAAAACTGAACATTCTGTAGACTTCCTGGCCGAATATTAGGCAAACGTATTCGTCCGGGAAGGAAGTATCTGAAGCTGGGATTGTGTACGAGAAAAAAGGAGTATACTACTGCGCGAAAATGAAGAAAAATTTGTTTCTATGCACCAGTATGTTCCACTTTATTTACGATAAAATTTTAATGTTTATAATATGGAAGTTGATTATGTACATATCACTACATACTTTAACGATTATAATAAAAAACAAAACTAATCGTAAAATAAATGTTTTCATTTTACCAATTTTACCTACAGTAAAACCTCTTAAGTATTCGGTATGCAACCGAATAGGATAAAAGTATCTGAACACCGAATAATAGCCGAATATTCGTTCTAAGTCTTACTTAAAAGCCATTTCAAATAATTTAGGTATTTAACACTAAGAGTAACGCATAAAAGCCGCATCTAAAGCTAAAATCGAGTGTTATCGTAACTTCATTTTCTTAACCGATTCGTTGCGGCACCAATTTTCGACAACTTTTAGCTGTGGCGACGAACAAATATTTCATGACACGCCTATTGTGCCATCCGCCATGTGTAAAAGTAATGTTTTTTTTTTAATGCTTTTTTTACTTGTTTAGACCAAATTAAGTTTATTTGACATCAAACATAAGTTACAAATGGAAGGATACTTGTTTTTAGTGGGTAACTACGTGTTTTTTTACGCGTTTTCTTTGAAATTGAGAGAAAGTGACTTTTTTATGAAGAGATTACAAACCTTTTGTACTATTTTTTTATGTTATAAAAAAATCGTTTATATAAGTAGGTACAGCTAATTCACCCTGGAAACCTTGGTTTTTATTAAATTAAATTTTCACCTAATAATAACATTTGTAAATATCAAACAACAAAGAACCTTAATTTGAAAAAAAAAGGTATATCATTCATTGATATTTACAAATGTTAAATATTATTTAATGTTATACAACTGTAAAAGTAAAGTCGATCTGAAAACGTCTAATTAGTAAGAATAGCAAAACAAGTGTTTTCAAAAGGAAAAAAAACGCCGGCGCTATACGGCGGCGGATTGACAAAAGACTATTTATTAGCGAACTTCTTTTATGCATGAACGGTTTCGAACTGTTTCAAGCAAAAATAAACCTTATACCATGTCACAAGAGCACATGGTACTTCGTAGGTCTATTCGGCCATATGATAATAATAAGACGGCAGTTCAACCATTTTAAGCAAAATTAAACAATAAGACAAACGCATTGTTTTTTTTAACAGGAGACTTGTATTCCAGAAATCTATGTACAACTTGAGTTTGTGAGCGATCGCAATGAGTGCTTTTTTTGTTACTTATTAGACAATTTTTCCATAACATGATTTAAAACCCACAAAGTACCACATGGCTCTACCACGTGGCTTTACACGTGGTAGAGCCATGCTCCGGCTATATTATGGTTGTAGCACGAATGGGTCGGCTCGACCGGGGAAGGACCACGCTCTCACAGAATACCAGCGTAAAATAACAGCTTAACGCTGCTGTGTTTCGTATGGTGAGTGTAAAGAACCGGAGACCCTTTTTACTGGAAACGAGGCATTCCATCTTAGTCCAACGCATCTGCATTTTGATTCGTAACCGAAGAAAGATGTAGATGTCTATGGGCCGCAGCAACCACTTACCATCAGGTGGACTGTGTGCTTGTTTGTCACCCTTATACTATAAAAAAAAAAGTAATAATAGTACCAAGTACACGTTAAAAAAAGTTTGTCAACCCCTAAAAATTTCAAATTTTCAAAATATCCAGAAACGAAGCTGCATGCATGATGTATTCGCAAAATAATGAATATTTTGTTCTGGATAAATTTTCCAAAAAAGCAATTTGAGCGAGTTATAATGATTTTTAAAAGACACGACTCGCGTGTCATACGCCACATATAAAAGTAATCGATGGCACGCCTGGAGTGTCGCCCGCACTGAACCGGTTAAGGCGCGTGAGCTAATGTATCTATCTACGCAATTTAAAGACACAAAAATAGATTTCAGTGTTGCAATCACTAGATCCTTCATTACATCCCTACACAAGTCCACTCCTGAACATGGGTCCCGCCCTAAGTAATGTTAATAATTAAACCATTGATTAATTTAATCAATAACTAATCAGATGATGACAAATGGGAAGGATCGGAAGGTTTGGATGTGTAGTGTTGTGCTGTATAACATCATTTTATGTTCTTTCTTTCTTTTTTTTCTTCTTTAGTTTAAAAACGTTACCACCATACTAGGATTTTCTCCTGTATCGTGGAGGCAGTTTACAAACATAAATTGCACGAGCACAAACATCCAGACCCGGAACAATTATTTGTAGGCTATACAAATACTTGTTCCGTGCGGGATTCGAACCTGCGGCCCCCAGCGCTAAAACTCATTGCTAAGCCACTGCGCCACGGAGCCGTCAATTATGTTTGTTATCAATTGAAATAACTTTTCATATTATAATTTTTACAATTTTTTTTTTATTTAAGAATCTTGCAGTAGCAAAGACTTTTCGCTACGATTTAACGTCAGTTTATTTTTTATTTTTAAAATACAAAAAACAACAATTTTAGAACCGTCACTTTCAAATTTAGTTTAGTTTGGTGCACACAGAATTTATCCTCGGACTAATATAAAATACTAATTAATTGAAAACATTTCCCCCCCTTTTACTAGCAACACTGGATTGCGATGGTTTAGGTATTATGTATAAAATGAATCTTGATGGCAAAATGTAATTTGATCTCTTTATTTTTATTCTCCGGATGTGCTATAGCATCTCTTAACGTTTCACACTGTAATTTTTAATTAAATTTGCCCCCCTTTTCGTGCTTCTAATACTTTTTTGGGAGTTATATTCTAAGATTTAATACTTTTTTAAGGAAGACTTAATTTTACATCAAATGACAGGATATTATTTACGGTTTTCTTTTATTTTGGGAACATATAAAATGTTATGTAATGTTTTATATAATTTTATCATCCATTTTTATAGAATATCATAATTTAATTAAGTACAATGGAAATTATTAAAAAAAACTTGAGTTTTTAAAGAACGCAAAATTACATATATATAAAATTAAATATATATATATATATATATATATAACATAATAAGACTTCTAAATATATATCTGAAATTTACTAAGAGCGCAATTATAACTAGAAAATTTCCAAACATGGCATACAGTTATTGCAGTTTTTGAAAATACGAGTAAATAAGGCGTCTACTTTTAGAAATTATCCCAAATTTAGTGTTAACATGGTTTATGGGTAACAACTTCACGTACGCGCGGCGCGCTCTTCTGTGTGCGATTCAATTCACAACGTTTCTGCCGACCGAGCGACCCTTATGAATGTGTGCGTGCGTAGTAAAATAGCAACGTCTGGAACGATTTTGAGCAAATTTTGTGTGTGTGATTAAGTTGATTCGAGAATTGGTTAGCGTCACAATTGGACAAGGTAGGTAGCGCTATTGTCGAGATTCGGAAATCACCCATGCAAAGCCAGAGCGAATAGCTAGCCTTATATAATATAGTAATACAGGACAATCTGTCACTGATGGGTTGATCTCTCGTCACCCCTTTAGCACTTTGCTTTCAAGTTTCACTATTTGATACACTATTTAGGAATTAGAAAATACGAAAACAACTATAAGAATTGACTAAAACTATTTTGAGTAATGTATATGTTGGCTATATTATAGAAATAATATTATTGCTAATACTTCACAATGATGTATTTAATAAAAAAATCGTTTAGCATTTTAGTACAAGTTTGTACTACATTAATTAAAGACTTGGAAGTTAAAACTGGACCATAAAATATTGAATCGAACACCCTATTAAAATCACGTATTTCAATAAACACTTTGTGAATATAGATTGAACTAGCTGCATACTAAATATATTTTAACAACAACATTTTATTGCGACGTTTAGCTCACAGTACGCGACCCTTGTATAAAAATTGCAGTCTTCTAAGCAATAAGGCGACTTAGGCGTGGCGGCACCGACCCTGTCAAAGGGGCCAAACAGCGCCGTTATCTAGCATTAAATCTATCGTCATTCTTTTGGTGTGGACGGCGCACTATCCTCGGCTTTTCGTTTACTTCCTGCGTGTTGGGTCCTGTTCTTGTCGGGCTTGTACTTCTCCCATTTCTTGTGATTCAACTGGTCGAAGTCTTCACAGTACTGGGCGATATCCCTTAAATACGTAGATAGGTGCAATAGCTCCCTATCTCTGTCTCTATTTAGATGGGCTTGTCTAAACGGTCGGATTTTAAGTCCACTTTTAGGGTTCATAATGAAATTTCTTCTAATGTCGTCAAACATTATTGTATTCTTGGAACTGTATTGAGGGTATTTTCCCCAAATAACACCTAGTGGCTTTACCTGAAATTATATAAATGTATATATTATGTTCTAAATTAGTGGTCATCTGGGTCATTGTTGTTGGCTGAGTGACGGTGTAAGAATATCCACTACTCCATATCGTCACGTGGGTGTCAAGACAGAGGGAAATTGAAACAAGAGATGGGCAGCAGCATCTTTCTGATAACAACTGAAAATAATAAAAAAACTACGGTTCACCACTCGCTCGCCAAGCGTATCAACTAGGCGTAACTATGCTGTAATTAATGGATGGGTCAATGTCTATTTTCATTGTAATGTAAATTAACAGTTTTTATTTTATAAATAACAGGTTGAAAAGGCTGGCTTTCATCATCAGGTTTTTTTTTAAACAGTTTTTAATATCAACTAACATCATATTAAAATGAAACTGAGATGGTGTTAAATTATTTTGTTTTTCAATGGCACATATTGTAAAGTTTCTGATACCTAGTTCACTTGCCAAAGACACTATTTTTTTCAACCTGTTTTATAAGCAATTGGAAATAGGTTAATCGTTTTTGATATGTATGATAATATCACAAAGAAGTGCCATGTAATAAGGGCGTAAGCATATTCACAGTGGATATTTTTTTTATAGGATAATGTGACAAACGAGCACACAGCACCTGATGGTAAGTGATTACTGTGAACCATAGACATCTACATTTATCCTCAATAAAGAATCAAAATGCAGATGCGTCGTTACCAGTAAAAAGGGTCTCCGGTTCTCTACACTCACCATATGAAACACAGCAGTGTTAAGCTGCTATTTAACGCTCGTATTCTGTGAGAGCGTGGTCCTCCCCTGGTCGAGCCGACCCATTCGTGCTACAACTATACCAGTAATATAGCTGCAGCATGGCTCTACTATGCATAAAAGTGTCCCCATATCATCACATGACTGTTGAGTGTGAGATGACTGACAGAGGCGACAGAGGAAATTTAACAGAAGATGGAGATGGGAAGCAGCATATTCCAAAATAACATCAGTTCGCCGTTACCATGGGTGCTGTAAGGTAATCGAAACGTCGGGATTATAAAATAAGTTAATTAAACGTGAAAAATATCCTAATAATTTAAAGTTAAAATTTTTGTACAAGCGACTTCAATATAAATTATTAAGAATAACTCAAAAACTATTGGTCAAACTGGGAGCTATGGGACCTATGGGAATATATCGGGCCACATGTGAAGCACCAGCTTTCTAATAAAAAAAGAACCACCGAAATTGGCTCATCCAGTAAAAAGTTATGAGGTAACACACATAAAAAAATGTACAGTCGAATTAAGTACCGTCTCCTTTTTGAAGACGGTAGAAAAACTAGTTTCATACAATGAGTAGTGTGCGCGTGAATATAAGACATCATAAACTCAAACTTATAAATAGCTGAGGTTGCCAACCCTCCTGCCAAATGTTACAACTGTGGCAAATATCTTCTCTACAAGGCAATCTATCGTGGAAACCAATGTTCAGCAGTGGACTTTTGATAAGCTCTCAAGATGGATCACAAGAAATATGAAGAGTAGTCATTTGCCTCTGTTGCCTCTTACGTCACCCATGGGATGATATGGGGTGGTGAATTCTCTCACGATGCCACTACAAGGCTATGACAGAATAAACTTAAGAATTACTATAAGTGATTCCTGACCTTACTCAAAGAAAAGTTATTAAGGATACAGAGAACGGCATGAAATATAAGCATTTTCACAAATAAACAGTTGTTTAACCAAGATCTTAATGAGATTGAATAAACCGCAGATCAGGATAGGAACAAGTGCTATTACAGGACATGGCTCTTTTTACAAACATTTATTAGTATAGGTGTTACAGATAGTCGCCTGTGCAGAACAATGGGGGAGGAGGAAACGGCAGCCCACGTTTTGCTGACATGTCCGGAGGTCGCTGCGTACAGGGCTAAACATCTCGGCACGCCGGGATCACTACCCAAAGTTGCTCGCAACATCAAAGGACTGTTGAACTTCTTTGTGGAGATTTCATGGCTCGAAGAATGATATTATTCCTGCTCACACGCAAAATACGCGCTTAGCAACGCAACTCCACGTTTGCGGAAAATAACCTGTGGTAAACTAAAATAAAGATTTTGCACTTACATCGATAGTTCCATACTTGGCTGTGTGAACAGTGATCATGGCCAAGTAATCCAAATAGAACATAATTTTGTAGTCCTGATGCGTGGATACACCAAGGAGCCTCATTTTCTCTTCTATCCACTTCATGCCAGTCGCTGACCATATCACAATGTCGTAGTCTTCGTAAGCCGAAGTTAGGAATTCATGTAGGAATGGTCGCATTAGTTCATAGCCTGAAATTCAATGGGAAAAAAAGTATAATGGGAAATAGCATAGGTTAACCGGTTCAGTGCGGGTGGCACGCCTGGCGTGTCATGAAATATTTGGTCGCCGCCACAGCTAAAAGTTGTCGAAAATCGGTGCCGCAACGAATCGGTTAATCTAGGCTCAACCGTGTAGTGGCGGTGTAATAATATTCACTACCCTCATAGTAAGAGGTAAAAGAGTGAAATTTACTCTTCATATTTTTTTTTATAGGATAGGGTGACAAACGAGCACACAGTCCACCTGATGGTTAGTGGTTACAGTGACCCATAGACATCTACATCTATCCTCAATAAAGACTCAAAATGTAGATGCTGTCACCCGTGAGGCCTAAAATGGAATTTTTTTTTTTATAAGATAAGGGTGACAAACGAGCACACAGTCCACCTGATGGTAAGTGGTTGCTGCGGCCCATAGACATCTACATCTATCCTCGTTTGCGAATCAAAATGCAGATGCGTTGTCACCCGTGAGGACTAAGATAGAATGCCTCATTTCCAGTAAAAAGGGCCTTCGGCCACCTGCACTCACCAAGCGAAACGCAGAGGTAAGCCTCTACTTCACGTTGGTATTCTGTGAGGTCGTGGTACCACCCCGGTTCGAGCCGGCCCATCCGTGCGACAGCAAAAGCCGCCGCGTGGCTCTACCACTGTTAAAGCACATGCTTTGGTGCATGGTGACATTATGCTATGGAAATAACTGAAATAAGCTAATCTAGCTGTCTCGACACTAGTGAGACCTCGTAATATTTTTTGCAGCATAGGCTGCAGAACGTAGTCTGCTGTAGTACTAGTAGCCGAGTAGTATGTAGTGATGGTTTAAGAATATTTTTAATCCAAATCATCCCGTGGGTGTCGTAAGAGGCGACAGAATGAAATTAAAACGGAAGATGGGCAGTCAAGCGTGGCTACTATTCCAAATTATCCCTCATGAGGCATTCTATGGGAGAGGCCTATGTTCATCAATGGACTTATATAGGCTGTAGTGGAAGAATGATGGTACTGCATCAAAGTGAAAGGTCAAAGTAGTCTAGTTCATAATTATCACTTCTCTCTTTCAACTTCAAAAAGGAGGAGGTATTCAATTCAACTGTCTGTTTTTTATGTGTGTTGCCTCATAGCTTTTTTCTGGGTGAAAGGATTTCAATGTTTCATTTTTTGTTTGGAAGCTGGTGGTACTAAAGTGGTCCCATATAAATTTGATCAAGGCCTGACCAATAGTTTTTGAGTTATTCTTAATAACTAATATTGAAGTCGGTTGTACAAAATTTTAAATTATTATGTTCACTCTTTGGAGGGTATTTTCCGCAAACTAGAATGGAACAACTTCGGCCTCAACATGCAAGGTGTCAAACTGAACCACCTGAGATTTGCGGATGACATAGTCCTGTTTAAAGAAAACCCGATAAATCTAAAGAACATGTTAAAATTACTGCAGGAAGAAAGTTTGAAAGTAGGTCTCCATCCATGAACAAAGAAAAGGCAAAATTACTCACAAACGCTGAACCAATAACCATTGATATTGACAACCAACCACTAGAATATGTGACAGAATATATATACAAACCACCAAAGAAATTGAGAGAAGAACAGCGAATGGGTGGAAGAGGTACTGGTCCTTAAAAGAAATCGTGAAATCCAAGGAGTTAAGCATGCAATTAAAAAGTAGAGTATTTAACACATGTATACTTCCAGTCATCACCTATGGATGCAAAACTTAGGCACTCACCAAATAAAAAAAAATAATTGAAACACTGTCAGAGAGCCATGGAAAGATGTTTAACAGGAATAAGGAAGTTAGACAAAGTAAGAAGTAGCACAATAAGGGAAAAAACAAAAGTAGTCGATACAATTACCCGAATAGACCAACAAAAGTGGAGGTGGGCAGGCCACATGATCCGAGATCCCCAGGACAAATGGTCTAAGAGCGTCACTGATTGGTACCCCAGAGATGGCAAGCGCAATAAAGGGCATCAACAGACGAGATGGGAAGACGATTTCAAACTCACAGCTGGTCATCACTGGAGAAGGGTAGCGCACGACAGAACCCAGTGGAAAATGTTGAAGGAGGCCTATGCCAAGAGGCACACCGAACTGCGGGACATCCTTTAATTTATACATTACCTAATCTGCAACTATTTATTGTCATAATCATGTAATCCCAAAGTTTGGAATAAATGGCTTATCTTAATCTTAATCTAATGTTCACTCTTGGATACGGGCCTTTGCCAAGGGCGCCAGCCAACTGTGCTATGGTGGACAGGCAGGTTGGTAAGTGCAAAGCCCACACATTGATAATGGTGCTCTACATTGCCAGGCTGTGAAATTTGGCCCATTGGTTATTGATAGGACTTCCTGCTAATATTCTGATACCTGTACACCTAGTCACTAACTTGGAACAATGTCATGCACACATTGACAGTGCTTTCTTCACTTGAGGCACTTTTAAGTTTTGTGTTTACTATATCACCCGGTCAAGTTAGCTCAAATATGTCACATGATGACGACTTATAGCGTCTTTTGTCCCATCACATATATGTAGTATATTAATAGCCAGCATAATAAACATATTAAATGGTGTTTTTCATCTTCTATATAAATAAAATGATAATAGAGGTTTGCAGTTGTGCACTCATCACGGAAAAACTATTGGATAGATTTTAAATAGATTTTTCAAGTTTTATTTCTTAGACACTTGACCCTCATCTAAAAAAAATATTGCGATATCTTCATTTAATATAAAGTTATTAGAGTTTTAAGAAACAACAATTTTTATAACCACTATGTGTTCAATGATGTGTGTTTTTTTGCCGCGGAGAAGTGGGGCAAACAGTGTAGCGCGCATGTGTAGGAGAGGGGAAGTCTCTTCTACTTCTGCCTCATGATAAAGTTATTGCCAGCCACGCATTACTTGTGCGAGCGACATGATGCTGTTCAGTTGTATCTTGATCAACTGCCACCCGTAGTTTCCCATAGTTTACTCAGTGATTTTGACCGTTAAATAACTAATTTTCATTTAGTTTTTTTCTTACAGTTTGTAAATTTATTATTATATATAGGTATATGTTATGGCTAAAACCCAAAGTGCGAACACACCTAGGTGTAGCTGGCTAATACAAGGTTAGTCGATTGCGATTGGTGATGTAACCGCAATTCGGCTTTCAGCCACACCATATATATATCCATATATATATATATATATATATATATATATATATCCATATATACGACCGACGAACTAGCGGGTATAAGCTAGTTTAAAATAAATATACATACCAGTCTCAGCCACTGATCTATGGTCAAACAGTGTGTAGTCTATATCTAGTACAAGCAGTTTCTTTCCAGGTCTAGGTTCATTTAAAACATTTATCTTGTAATCACGCACTCTCTTATTTATTTTAGCTAGGTAAATCTGCAACATTAATTAAAAAACAGTGACTTAATTTGTAGTGTTACCTAATACAACACAAGTTTACTGTACTAAAACAGGCAAAAACTTTTTAAAACATCTTAGAAGCTCTTTTTAAGTTGGAGAGCTGAGGTGCAACTATATTATGGTTGTATCACAAATGGGTCTGCTTGACCAGGGAAGAAGCGCACTCTCACAGAATACTAGCTCAACACTGCTGCGTTTTGTATGGTGAGTTTAAAGAACCGGAGACACCCTTTTACTGGAAACTGGGCATTCCATCTTATTCCTCAAGGATGGCAACGCATCTGCATTTTTTTATAGAATAAGGGTGACAAACGAGCACACAGTCCACCTTATGGTAAGTGGTTACTTTGGCCCATAGACATCTTCATCTATCCTTGTTTGTGAGAATGCCTCTTTTCCAGTAAAAAGGGTCTCTGGTTCTCTAAACCATATGAAAACACAGCAGCATTAAACTGCTATTTTATGTCGGTATTCTGTGAGAGCATGGTCCTTCCCTGTTCGAGCCGACCCATTCGTGCTACAACTATATTATTAATATAGCTGCAGCATGGCTCCACGTAAAATCTTTTCCATGTACATGTACATCTATCCTCGATTATCCTCAATTCTTAATTGAGGATAGATGTACATGTCTATGCGCCAAAGCATCCACTTACACACTTATTCTTTTTTTTTTAATAAAAGCACACTTTGCTAAATTTATATTATCATCACTTTTATACAATTCTAGAATGTTAATGATTACAGTATTGTCCTACCTGATTTGAAAAATGATAACAACTTTTTACTTTATGATAACAAACATAGTAATTTAAAAAAATAACAGTCCACCAAGATGGTAATTGGCTATGGCTGCCAATGGATTGGAATGTTTTAAAGGTTGTAATTGTAGTGTGTTCCTATATCCTTCAAACCAGAAATCAACCTAGCACATAAGTGACTCTTCTTAAACGGTTGGACCTATTTTGAATTGTGTGATTAAGTTGATTCGAGATTGGTTTAGATTCACAATTGGACCCGGTAGGGGGCGCTATCATCGAGACCCAGAAATCACCCGTGCGAAGCCGGGGCGGATCACTAGTATATTATTGACGTTATCAATTGCACAGGAACCGTATTGTCTTATACCTGTATCTAATGTAACAGTTATAACTCAAGGTAGTTTTAAATGCAGAGGTAGGAAACAGCTATTACTACAACATATATTCACAAAAAAAGAAACCAATAATTATTGTGGTTTTTATACAAATGTTTTCCCTTTTGCTAAAATACAAACAGTGTGGTTGGAGTCTTAACAGCTGGTCCTCAGGCTAGAGTGATCCTGTTTACTAATCCACGGAGCATGTGCACTTGAAATAGCAATGATCAGATAAGTCCTGCAGTTCACACTATGAATATCTTTTTTATCCATGAACCAAATCTTACGCCCACATTAATATTTTCTCCACACTCGTGAAGTCATTTTACATACATAAATTTCACAAGGACAAACATTCAGATCCGGAACAATTATTTGTACTTGTACCATGCGGGATTCGAACCCGCGGTCGCACTGCAACTGAATGCTAAGTCACTGCCCATGGAGCCATTACAGTTATTGTTTTATTTTGTTAAATACAAAATGAAAATTGTGCAGAATTACTCCTTCTGAGTCTTAATTTTTTGTCCATCTGGGGCTACTTCAATATTATTTTTTTATAGAATAAGGGTGACAAACATGCACACAGTCCACCTGATGGTACATGGGTGCTGTGGCCCATAGACATCTAGATCTATTCTTAATAAATAATTAAAATGTAGATATGGTGTTACCTCTGAGTACTAAGACATAATGCCTTGTTACCAGTAAAAAGGGTTTATATGTTACAAAATGTGGCTTGAAAATAAATTAATGATGATTACGCAGCACCCATTTAGGTTGATAGCCGAACCATTTATATTCTTTAACTTAAGAACTTCAACTTAAAGAGTCAGGAGTCAAAAGACCAATTTAAACATTGCCAACCTCTTGGTTTTCCACGTCAACTTCTTCTTCTTCTATATCTAAATCATTAATAACCTCATCCCCAACATCAGGCTTAGTCCGAGCCCCTTCTATAGCTTCCTCTAAAGATCCCATCATCATAATCTTCAAATTTGGTTTCAGATTTAGATCTGATAATGTGTAGTTGTCGGTTGCTACTTTGCCTGTAAATAATAAAATATATAAATTTACACCCTTGACGCTACATTCCATACCCAGTCTATATGGTATGCAAGATGCATGTGGTTCACTTAATGGTAAGTGTCAACCGACACCCATAAACAACTGCAACAGCAGCGCAATTGCTATGGAACTCAAGGTTGGATCAAAAAATACCATAGACCATAAATTGAACCAATTTAGTCTTTTGGTCTAACCTTATCCATAGGATACACCAACGTAGGAGCATTGATTCGCATGTTTTGTATGTGGGACCAGTCTATTCCTACTCTTATGATAACTGTACCCACATTCGTATACTGGGCTTGGTCAACTAGTATTTGTAAATTTAGTCTTGAGGGTAAAAAAAACAAAGAATTGTCACAAAGAGAATTTATGGAACTTGTATGAGGGGTAACTTCTTTCTCATTTACTGTAATTTATATATATTTTTTAATTTTTTTTTTATTTAGTTAGTAGTAGTAGTAGTTAGGAATTGGTTATGTTTTTTTGCTTAAGTGCTTTTTCAAATTATGTGATTATCAAATTAAGAATACAACAACACCATAACATACCCATTATAATTATTTAATGCGAATATGATATTATTTTTCTGCATAGAAACATAAGTTTCGATTGATGTGGTACAGACAAATTTACTTTGCCACTTTTTAATATAGTAATCTTGAATAAATACATGTATTATTAGGAGGTAATAATTTAAGTTTCCGACATTATACATTGATCGGCAATAATTAATTTTGCAATAAAGATAAAATAGCGCGGATGGCCTAAACTTGTTGAACTTCATTTGAAAAAATTCAAAGGTTTTTTTTTAAATATATTAATAACTTAAATACTAACAACAAGCCTACACATTTTTTCTAAAAATTAATTTGCATTTACCCTGAAATTTAACATTGAGAAGTTTTTGTCTTTCCGGTCGAACACCCGTGGCATTTTCGATGGCAATCTTGAGCATTGCTACGGAGTCTGAAGGCGACAGCTCCGGTATATCATATTCTTTGCCATTCCATTTAACACTTAATTTAATGGGATTGTCGTTTATATCACACATTTTCACATGAAATTGCTAAGCAAAACGAGAGCTAATGGAAAAAATGACACATAAACAAAACAAGTTTGACGCTATACTATAGTGATGTTTTTTTTAATCTGTCACAAAACCATGGATACAGAGTCCTTTAGCCAAAATATTATAAGTTCAGACTAGTTTGATGTCGTGCAACGCTCAAACGTATTATACACGATCCATCTTGACGTACGTCATGCACGATGCATTAGCAAAACGACAATGGCGCATGCTACACACTCGATAATTATCACGATATTTAACGTGATTTTTATCTTGCAATATTTTGGATCGAATCTACATACTACACATTCGATATTAATCGCATCAGTACAACCTCCGCTAGGAGTAAAGTATTCTGTGAGTGCAACGATAGATTTCATTCACTAAAGACGTGTACGTTACATAATCCAAAGGCAGTAACGTAATGAGTGACTATAAAAGTAAAGAATTGCGTTGCTATTATATTAGCGATAGCATTAAAAAGACGTGTAAATAGAAAAAAATGTATGATGCATTGGCTTCAAGACAGAGATCAATATATGCACCTGAATATATTAAATTAGATTCAGGTATACCAGGAAATTAATGATTATGAAAATTATTTTCGCGTGTCCAGTGCTTGCTTTGACCATCTGCTGGAGTTAATTACGCCATACTTGATTAAAACTGATACTTGATACAGATCGTTGGATTTCTGGATTTTTAGAAATCCAGCGATCCGTATCACGATCAGTGATATGATATACTACACACTCGATAAATATCGTAATCATAGATTACGATCCAAATATCGTGATAATTATCGAGTGTGTAGCATGCGCCATTGAGTAGGCTTCTTCTTCTTCTTCTTTCTTTTTTATGGCGGTTTTGATCATTCGCCAATGTCAGCGTGAAAGCGTTTATTGAGTAGAAGCTCAGTAGTTACAAATACTATGCCCATATACAAGAGAAGATTGTGATAGTACAAGTATCTTTTTTCCTTTAAACCAATTTTTTCCCCTTTTATCTTGTAGTACTAATGGTTATACTGTTGAATTACCTAGAACAAATGACAAACACGGTTGCTATAACTACATTAGTATGTTAGTATTGACAAACATTAAACTTTTATACCATTAGTGTTAATAAAATCACACAGAATATATACATAAGGAGTGTTTGTGTAGGTTAAAAGTGAATCAAAATTTATAGGACGAGGGATGTCAGGAGGGAGATAATCATAGAGTGAACAAGATAATTTAGGACAGTTAAAAAAAATATGGTCGGAGGTTCCCTCATCCAACCCACATTCGCAGAGGGAACTATCCCTAATCCTCAGTTTGGCCAAATGTACTGGTGTACAAGCGTGGCCAATTCTAAGTCTACAAATAGTTGATGTAGAATGTTTATTAGCTTTATTGAATTTGAAAAACCATGGTTTTGGAAGGATGGCACATTGTATAGCAGCATAGTGTTTACCTTTTATATTTTGAGTGGCTTTCCATAGTGTATTCCAATTATTATTTAACTTCTTCTTTGCAAGTAACACTATGTCTGAGGAGTAAGTTAAATTACATGGCAAACCATTTCGACTGGCATTTTTAGCCATCAGATCAGCTGTTTCATTGCCCTTGATGCCACTATGACCTGGAATCCAAGCTAAGGAAACCTGTATGCCCTTGAGATGACATCTATACAATGTGTGTTTAATTTTGAGGATCAAGGGTATCTTATATTTACTTTGGAATTGGTTTGACAAAATTGCTAACAAACAACTTTTGGAGTCGGTAAGAATAACTGACTTATTTAAGTTGTGTGCTTCTATATATATTAAAGCTTCATGAATTGCCGTGGCCTCGCCAGTAAAAGTGGAAGAAATAGAAGGGCATTTAAAATTAAGAATTATTTTGAATCTGGGAATCCAAACTGCTGCTCCAGTACAACTTTCATCTGACTTTTTGGAGGCATCAGTGTATATAATAAGCCAGCCTTTCCATAAATTATCTATGACTCTACTTACTTTACTATTTGCTATAGGGCAATCTTTCTCAATACCAAGGTCGAGGTGGATATTTGGTTGGAAAATGATTGCATCATATGGGATATCAAATATGGGGCAGGACTTGAATTGTGATACTGGGTATGGTAGGTGGAGTAATGTTACCAAACTGTTGGATAAGCAGGGAGATTCTTTATGAGACCAGTAATGTTTTGACGAAATATATTCCAAAAGGAGGTGTAGTTTAGAAATGAGAGGGTGGGAAGAGAGTTGGTAGATTTTAAAAAAGTATCGGTCCGAAAGATATTGCCTTCTTAGATAAAGGGGAGGGTCCACACATTCAACTTGGAGAGCATTTATTGGGGAAGATTTCATTGCCCCGATGATTATACGAAGGCTTTTGGATTGAATCCTGTCTAGGATCTTTAGGGAAGACTTATTGCACGGTTCCAAAACAAAACATCCATAATCTAAATGACTACGGATAAGGGCGTTGTACAGTATTTTTTGGGAGAATGGGTGGGAGCCCCACCAGACACCCGATAAAGCGCGAAGAATGTTTATATTTTTTTCACATTTTTTGGAGACATAGTTGATGTGATGAGAAAAGGCTAGTTTGGAGTCGAGAATAACTCCTAAAAATTTTACACTCTCCCTAATTGGGATAGGTTCATTATTATAGAGAATGTTGATTTCAGGGACTTGCCTATGGCGAGAGAAGATTACAACACTGCTTTTGGGAACAGACAAAGACAAACCATGATCAGTTAACCAATCCTGTAAATAAGACATTGATATATTCAAGCGAGAACATGCTGCAAGGAGGTTATCTAGGGAAATATATATAGCTATATCGTCTGCATATTGGAGGATGTTACAGAAGGAGTTAACAGAAAGTTCTAAATCATAAGTATAGATAGAATAGAGTAAAGGACTAAGTACTGAGCCTTGTGGGAGACCCTTCCATACAATTCTTGGCGGGAGTAGAGAATTTTGACTGTCAATATAAATGGATCTAGAAGAGAGAAAGTTAGAGACAAAATTTACTATCCTCACTGGAATACTCAGATTAAGCATTTTTTGCCTGAGCACAGGAAGAAGTACATTGTCATATGCAGACGAGATATCTAGGAAGACTCCAACAAGGTATTCATGTTTAGAGTAAGCTATACGAATATCAGTAACTAGAGTACTAATGCTATCCATGGTGCTTAAGCCCTTTCGGAATCCAAATTGGCTTTTTGCTAAAAGATTTTTGCTTTCAAGAAACCATTCTAAACGATTTTTTATTAGGTGTTCAAGGATTTTGGCCATGGTGCAAGAAAGAGCAATAGGGCGGTAGCTTGCGGGATCAGTGTAGGGCTTACCTGGTTTGTGAATAGGTAAGATAACTTGGGATTTCCACTCTTCAGGAGGAATACCGGACATGTAAATATAATTCAAAATAGAAAGAAGATGGGCTTTAGTAGATTCACTGCTATTAGTAATATAAGAATAAGGGATTCCATCGATTCCTGGTGAAGAGTCTTTAAGGACATTAAGAACAGAATATAACTCCTCATAAGAGAAAGGAGAGTCAAAACTGTGTTGATAGTGCAGGGACTGTGATTGGAATACTATACATTCATTGTAAGATGGTACTGAAGGAGGAGCAAGTTTACTAGCAAAATTTTCTAGCCAATAAGACTGATCATTAGAATTTGTGTTTTCAGGGGCCGAAACTGAACATCGGAATTTTTTTATATTTTTCCAGACCAGTGATGGATGAGTCCTAGGCGACAGTGACTCACAGAATTTAAGCCATCCAGCCTTTTTCTTTTCAGACAGTAATTTTAATGTTTCAGCAGCAGTTTTTTTATAAAAAATATAGTTATCAAAATTCATTGAGCGGGAATATCTTAGTTCAGCTTCCTTTCTCTTCTTGCATGCTACAGAACAATCTTGATCCCACCAAGGCGGTGAAGGAGCATTATTTTTATAAGGTTTTTTAATGGGAATTGTCTTATTTGCAGCAGATAAAATAGCATTTTTGAAAGTAGAATACACCTGAAGAACATTCTCTTTCTGAACCGTAGGGAGGGATGAAAGTTCTTCATCTAGAACTGTGGAATACAGATGCCAGTTTGCTTTGGATGTGTTATATTTTAACCTAGGTTTGAATGGAACATTGACTGTATAGGAGTTAGGAGGATTGATAACAATAGGAAAGTGATCACTGCCATGGGAAATGGGTAATATTCTCCAAGAAAGAAGGGATGACAGGGCAGGAGAACAGAGTGACAGATCTACTGCACTTTTAGGATTTTGGAGGGGGGAAACTCTACGTGTAGGTGAACCATCGTTAAGGAGGCAGAGATCTAAATCATCAATGATGTCTAAGAATGTAAAAGACCAGGGATCACAAAAATGGGAACCCCATAAAGTATGGTGCATATTAAAATCACCAAGAATTATCATAGGAGGAGGGATGGAGGATATAATCCTCGTAAGTTCCGATAAGATATTTAGGTTAGGTTCGGGAATGTAAATAGAAAGGAAAGAAATGTTATGAGCTCTAACTGCAACAGCATTAATTGAAGGACTATGAGAAGGAAGGGAAATTAATGTATAAGTAATTGATTTTGAGATAAGAATGAAAGAGCCAGCATGACCATCACTTCTATCATCCCTGAGACATGAATAGCCTGAGACCCTAAAATGGGAGCCAGGCTTTAGCCATGTCTCCTGGATGGCTAGGATAAGGGGATGGTATTTATTAATAAGATATGTTAGTTCGTTTTTCTTATTTTTAATGCTCCGGCAGTTCCACTGAAGTATTGGAGGGAAGGTTATTTGTTAAGGAAATGAGCTCAGTAAGTTTTTGGCGGAGGGCGAGTGGGAGATCCATGTCGCTGAAACGGGAAAGCATACTTATAAGCATGGAGACCATCAGTTCGCAGAGATTATCATTAGGGGAAATACTTCGCCCTATTATAGCACAACCATTAGTAGATGAAGAAGGAGG